TGATAGAAATGTTTAAAGCATGAATTTTCTAACTCATACATACCCAACATGAATATAATCCTATAAACCATTCAATAGTTATTCAAAATACATACACAATAAGTGATTAGGACATGATAGTCGAATGTGTGGGTTACATACTGTACATGATATAGAGTTATGCATAGAAGTGAAAGTTGCTCATAAGTCCTTTTGGCATCATTTTGCTGCATATATACATATAAAGGCAGTTTCTGTGCCATTCTGTGAACGTGAGGACATGTTCTTTGTGAAGACCAAAGGTCAAAAGGGTTTAGAAGGAATCTCAGTCTGGTCTTTGTCTTCTAGGTGGGCGGAAACCACCCAACGCAGTCTCTACTAATGATTTTTCTCATGTGATGGTCATGATATGCTGTGTCTTTGACAATTAATCTTGGTTACTTGCCCCAAATTTAACAAACTCCTTCCTGAGTTGGAACTATCAAGTTGGAACTTTTCTTTTGTTTTAATGCTGTGAGCTGCTCAAAGCTGCTAGTTCGTTAGGCTCACTTCAGACTCGTGGCGCCAGGGCATTGAGGACAGATTTATAATGTTGTCTTGTTATCCTGGGCCTCTTTGTGGAATTTGGCTCTTTGGGTTGTTCAACACCAATCTGATCAAATCTTAAATTGTCTGATTCACTCTGATACCCTACAGTTGTGATGCATGTATTTTATGATGACTTTTTATTAAACAACATCCACTTCAGTCTCTTGGAGATCTTGGAAACAATGACAGTTAAAAAGCTACAGGACAGTGCAAATTTTGTGGCTTTTGACTAACATGACAGTTTGCATAGGAATTAAGTGTTATTTGTGTATATATTGTTGAATCAAATGTTAATTTAATCAGTGTTAAATTAAAGCCATTATCATAACTGCTTCAAAATACATGCTGTTAACAAAATCATTGTTTAATCATTTACAGTTACTGTACAGGGAGACTTCAGATATAAAATGGTGACTCAGTAGGTAATGTTTTCTCATTAAAATCAGATGATTTCCCATTGATTTAATAGGTACAATATGTGGGAATAGCAATATGACAGTGAGGTGGCTTCATATGTTACGATGTCATGAGCAATCCAGTTTTCAAATAAAATAAAAATCGGTGGTGTAACCACAGTGACAACTGCCTACTGTGATGTCATGTACAGACCTTTTATTAGAAAAATATTGGTTTGATTAAAAAAAAAATGAATAAAAGATTGCTTTGGTTTAAACTCTGGTTTAAAATACCAGTCCAGTCCGGTCCTCATATTTGATTGACTGAGTAACTTTCCAAAAGTATTTTCACTGTTTGTATCACATTTATTTTTCTAATAGGATTTTTCTGACTGTTTCTGCAGATTACATCGTTATAGTAGGTGGTGAAAATAGGTTGTCTTTAAGAGTCATTGAATAATTAATTGAACCTATTCAGTCAGAAACAAACTGCTGCTACACGGATCATTTGAATCTCAGGCAGACCACAAAACCGTGGGTGTAAAGTAGGGACGTGACAACTGAGTTGAGGATCCAAATGCAGGCTTTATTTACAAACATAGTCAGACAGGCCGGGGTCAAAAACCAGCAAACAGTTAACATCCAAGGCAAGGACAAAAGAGTAATCCGAAAACAGGCAAAGGTCGGGGCAGGCAGCAAAACAATGGTAAAAACCAGATAAACAGTCCAGGATCCAAAAACCACAAAGGCAAGTCAAGGCACAGTAAAACAAGCAAATAAAACACGGGCAGGAACACGGAAACTGGAAAACATTACAGGCTAACAATCCTCAGCAATGTGTGTGTGTGTGTGTGTGTGTGTGTGTGTGTGTGTAAGTGCAACCTTTATAGTCCTTCTAATATGAGACGGCTGTGAACTGATGATGAGTGCTAGTGATGGGTCGTTCTTGAACAATTCGTTCATTTTGAACGAATCTTTAATGTGACTCGGGAAGAACGAGTCGTCTCGGGGAGTGAGCAACAACCTATAGGTTCTGTACTGGAATTAGCCATGTAGTTCACCTGTTTCGAGTCTTCGGGTTTTTTCGAGTCGTTCGTTCATCACGTGACAGCCCCATAAGCTTAACCAATGCAGTCTGAGCCGGAAAGAGAATTGATTAGTTTATCTCTCGAGTCTTCGGGTTTGAGTCGTTCGTTCATCACGTGACAGCCCCATAAGCTTAACCAATGCAGTCTGAGCCGGAAAGAGAATTGATTAGTTTATCTCTCGAGTCTTCGGGTTTTTCGAGTCGTTCGTTCATCACGTAACAGATCCATAAGCTTAACCTATGCCGGGAGAGTATGTTTTATTAAAAAGGTGTATACTGAGTTTGATTCTCCAATGTCATTGTTTTAGGCCTAGTTTCACAGACAGGACTTAGATTAAGCCAGGATTTAGCCGTAATTTGGACATTTAAATAGTTTTTTTAAAGGGGTCATATGACGTTGCTAAAAAGAACATTATGTTGTGTATTTGGTGTAATGCAATGTGTTTATGCGGTTTAAGGTTAAAAAAACACATAACTTTTCACATAATGTACATTAGTGTTTCACCTCTATGCTCCGCCTTTCTGAAACGCGTCGATTTTTACAAAGCTCATCATTCTAAAAAAGCGAGGTGTGCTCTGATTGGCCAGCTATCCAGTGCATTGTGATTGGCCGAATACCTCATGCGTGTGATGGAAATGTTACGCCCCTTACCATACTGTGATGCTGTGTCCCGGGACGTGCCAGACTGTCCTTGCAAAGTTGGAACTACCCCACTTTATAGAAACAACCTTTGTGCACAGACGCATTGTAGGCTACCGTTAATCTACAGGTTCAGGAAACAGTCCTCCATAAAATGCGCTGCACACATCTGACTATTTGGGTTGAACTGTTCTGGAACAGTGTTGTAAATACAACTTAACCACTGATTTCTAGTTGTGTCCTCTTTTGGAAGTCCAAACAGAAGTAGTTTCGCTTAACGAAACATACAGCGTCACACACGGCGGGCTTGAGTGAGCGGAGGCCGGGGGGCTAGACTGAGCGGAGGCTGGCAGGCTTGAGTGAGCGGCGTCCGGCGGGCTTGCGGCAACCACATTTGATGACCCCTGGCTGGACTCCACTTCGTTCTTAAGCCCTGCAAGAGAGCTTGTACAACAGGGTTCATTAACTATTATAGTTAACTAACTGAAGTTAACTAATTCAGTTAACTGAAATGAATGTTAACTGTACCTTTTTAGCTAGAGTTTCTAAAGCAATAATAACTCAGTGTTTCCCCTGCCATTATATTAGGGGGGCGGTCCGCCCTTGAAGGTCAAGTTAATTTTATTTAATTATATTTTCTCTATAGCGCCAGATCACAACAGAAGTCATTTAAAGTTACCTTTCCTATAGAACAGGTATATACCTTGTTCTTTTATTAAGCAAACTAAATAGCCTTATGTTATTTATTTTATTTACACGACGGCATGTCATTTCGGTCTCTACGTTATGGCCGCGCTCTCTGCATCACGCACAGCGGAGTTCCGCCCGATGGCGCACACACACACACACACAAGTGAGCCCACTCCCACTCCCACTAGTATTTGTAAATATTAAGCCGCAAAACGATTCATATTTAAATATGAATTCTGCGTGTCTCTGTGTTAATGAATGGCGCAGATGTGCGGTTTTGTGTAGTACTCGTACTGAAACGCTTGTGACGCTTCCGGTGATATTAACGTCTGCCGTCTCACTAATGAGGACATAAATACAAGAACAACATCTCCAGAACTGCTCTGAGAGTCACTTCATGAGCATTTGACCGTTTCATTTGAGTAAAACTATCATCATGTCATACACACACAGAAATGTAAAGGTATTCACGGCAACCCATCAAAATAAAAGTTCGGTTTAACTTGAGGGCATTGGCAGAAATATATTACTATCGTTGAGCAGAATGTACGTAACAGGCTGCTACTACTACTACTAAAATTATTAAAACCTTATTTTTAAGGAATAAGCATTCAATATTTCTTCAATGTTTTAATTGTAATATTAAATGACCTTTATTTTCCAAAAAATTTAATTTGTTTAATTTTCATTACTTAAAAGATAGATTAAATGAATGTTTTATGCCTTAAAACAGAATGTAAATACACAGCACAGAATTTCTGAGCAAAAAATCATATTGTAAGAATTAATGAAACTTGTTTTATGCTTTCAAATATTTAGACATGCTAAAACAGAATTTGGTTACAATAAAACATAAGGTTGGAAAAATAAAACATTTCATAGGGCACTAAACATGTCATATTTGTTAAACTTTAATAAATTGATGTAAAATTTGAGACTTTAGTCTTTGCAACTTTAGGGATCTTATCTATGCACGAACAGCTTGTAACACTCCAAAGAGAAAGGAAAATTTGAAATTGCATCATATGACCCCTTTAATGTACCTTAGAAAAAAAAAACATTATTGGTGTGCATCTTGATACAAATCAGTAGCACTGACATATTTTAAGATATATCAGTGCAAATTGCTTTTAGTTAAGGCAGCTCAAACATGCATTTTAGTCTGGGGCCTTGTCTGTGAAACCGGACATTAATGTATTAAGACACATTAAGCTAAAATGCTTTTTTGTGTGTGTTCATGTTGTTTATATGGGTGTTTACTCATTGTTTATATAGGTGATTTTAAGTGAAAAGCATTCACGTGCAGATTTTTGCAGCTGTTGATTAGGCTTTTTTTTTTATTGTGAAAATCTCCAGCCGATCAATATCAATTTGCATCATGGAAAAGAGTATTGTTCTGAATGCAAGTGATCTCACTTGTGATCTTTTAAACCACATTAGTTTCATTAGCGCTGTGATAATTTCTCCCCATAATGCGTATTGTAAACGCACAGCAGCCACTGCTCATTACCTGGTGGCTTTCTTTTGCGTAAAAACTAATTTTTTAGAGTTAATTGAGAAAAATAGACTGGACTACCTATAACACAGTATTTCTAATTTCTCATAATTTGGTCCTCAACAGGTCAGGTGGTTTTCGAGAGAGAGAGAGAGAGAGAGAGAGCGCAGCCGTTCATTCACGGCGCACTGGATTCAAGTAACACTCGCCCCTGGCAGCTGAAGATGCTGTTACTATGGAAACAGTTTTTGCTGCTATCAATCATGGAATATCTTGCAGGTAAAATGAATTGGTAATTCCTTCCCTCTGTGGCTCTTGTGGTGTATTCACAACTATGTCTCTATCAACTTTAGCAATCTTTTCTTAGGTAGACTATAACAATGTTCTGAAGCTTGAAGTTAAAAAGAGAAATCTGACTGTACATATATGACAAGTGCTCCCCAAAAAAGCATCCCCTTGTTCAATGAAGCATTATGTTTGTGGTCAACCTGTCTGGTCATTTATTGTTTCGGTGTGAATCCACGGCAGACAGAAACAAATGTGTTGTTGCAGCATTTGTACTATGAGTCCATATCTTGATTATGAACGGAAGACAGTAATAGACCCTGACGCACAGAATCAGGCTTACAGGAACAGGACGTGTTTTGGACGTGGTGGAGGGGCTTTCAATTAAGCTGTGCAGTCATTTTGAAAATGAATTGTGTTGTGTCATAAAAGGTTTTGGAGGCTTCGATACAATGTGTCCTCCAAGGAAATTGAACTAGTATGTCACAGTTTATGGCTCCACATCCTACAGATGTGGGAGGGGAAATTATTTCTCTCATTTTGAATTCACTGGGAATATTCTGATTTATATTTGTATACCAAATCACCCTCAGAGCTTCATCTCTTAAAGGGAAAGGTCACCTAAAAATGATGCTTCTGTCATCTTATACTCACCCTCATGTCGATTCATATCTATGACTTTCTTTCACAAAAGCACAAAAGAAGATATTTTGAATATTTTTACTGATTGCTCTTTTCCATGAGTCCCCGCTGAGGCTTTCAAGCTTCAAACAGGATGTAAAAGCACCATAAAGTGGTCTGTACAACATGCATGCTGTATTTCAGGTCTTCTGAAGCCGTACGATAGCTTTGAGTGAGGAACAGATTGCAATTTGAGTCATTCTTCACCTCCTGTGAGCTGTTAACGGCTGTGACGGGATCATTGAGTCTGTGAGTTGAATTCGAGGATAGTTTGATTTGTGAATGAATCATTCAGACTGGTTTTGTGAACTGAATGAACGATTCATTTGTAAAAAATTCAACTCAAAAAATGATTTGTTTATTAGTGGTGAAAATTGGATGTTTCATCATGATATGATTTAAAACAGATTATCTGCAAGCAATACGATATTTGACCAAAACATGCTGCGATCTGATTGTGATTTGATTCGATTTAGGGACCTGCGATTGATATATTGATATTGCAATATTATTTTAACTCACAAATACCAACATTTTACATGAACATTTAATTGAACTCTCTGAAAATTGCAAATCCTGTATCCCAATTAGGACATCCATAACAAAACAAAAAAACTCTATAGTTATTAATTAATAGAAAAAATATTAAAATAAATAAATAAATCACACATGAGATTGTCAGTCATCTGAACAGCTCATAATTGACTTGTGCATAAGATAAGCAATGATAAAAATCAAGAAATACCTCTGTGCTCTCTAAAATTAATGTCCCCATTAAAATGAGGTACTCCAGTTATTGAAAAATAATATATTTATTAAAAAAACAAAAAGGAAATTTTGAAAAATAAAGTTATTAAAAATGATCAAATATTTGATGATAGGTCAGCGACAATTTGAACATTTTATAACAGTCAATCAAGTCTTCTGGAGTCTTTTATAGATGTGTGTGTAAATGCTTATGTGTTTTATCTATTGATCATATCATCATATTCAGCCTGTTCCTCAGACAAATCTATTGTAGGGGTGTGCGATAATGACAAAAAAATTATATCTCGATATTTTGTGGAATTTTGTTGATAACGATAATTAGACAATATTTTGCTGAATGTATTATTGTGCTGATACCTTGGCAGGTTTAGGACTGCCATGGACAGCTGAATCCCAAAGCTTTTGATATACTTCATAATCTGTGTAGTGGTCCGTTTGCAGCAGCAACAGAAATTCACTTTTTCAATAAGTTTTTTTTTTTTGCCTTTATAATGCCAATTTTTTCTAACCTAATTAAATGTATGCATCATCTTTTGTGCCGAATTTTTATGTGTAATCAATTAATTCAATTCAAATAGTAAGGCACTATAGAGCTGTTTAATCAAATGAATCAGTATCAACAAAATGGCACAGAAACTGCATCTGAAGTGGCATTTAGATGCATTGTTTAATGCAGCTCAGAGGGGACAAAATGCGAAAAAACAAAATGTTGAATACTGATATTTGAAATGATTTTGGGGAAAAAATAATTTAAAGGTGACATATCATGAAAATCTGACTTTTCCAGGTTTTAATAATCAGGTCCCCGGTGCATCTACCAAACAAGGAAACGTGAAAAAGATTAACCCAGTAACTTTGTTTTGGTAAGCCTTTTTCTGCAAGTGTCTGAGAAAACGAGCGCGTCTGATTTCGTTCCCTTGGTGAC